GGCCTGCCTCCCGGGTCGCTTGGTATTTTCACACTTTTAGTAAAGTGTAACCAGAAATTTAGCATGCATCATTAAACATCAGTCCCTCTGAGTTGCAGTTGGATTAAAAACAGCCACATTTAAACCCTTTGCAAATGCAAGCTCAGAAATGACTGCTTCCCTTGTTGCTAGCATTAACACCGTCGGATTTATGACAAGTTTTTGGCATGTTAGCAGCCGCACCGAAGCTATTTGGGAAGCGACGTCTCTCTCGCCTTTGGGAAGGTTCTGATCCCAGCCGCTTTTTTGGGGGAAGGAGGGGGCCGTCCGTCCGACAGCCACCCGCTTTTACCTGTCTCCTCTTCTAATTTGACAAGGAAGCGCTCAATCAAATCGTCCCACTCCAGGTCTCTGCTAAACCTTGCGGCGTTGCATGTCGGGAATTGTAGTCTCCCTGTCCCCATAGGTTTCGAGCGCCTGAGGCATGGCAAGAAGGAACGGATTCCTCCTTTATGGGAGGCGGTCTCAGGTGGAGAGGGCTGGATGTCCGTCGGCATGGGGGAGCCCCATCCCCACAAAGGGCCACTGTGGCGCAGCTTGACTGGGGGGCAGAGACTCCATTTCCCAGGCTGCAGAGGGAAGGGGGCTAAGCCTTTCTCGCTGCAGGTTGAGCTTCTTGGTTGCGGATGAGCAAAAGAGAAAACAGTGGAGGGAGAAAGAGAAGAAAGGGAAGAAGGGGGTGGGGGAAGAGGGGAGGAAGGAGGAGGAGGAGGAGGAGGAGGAGGAGGAAGAGAAGCATCCCTGGGCAGGCGAATTATGCATGCACTAAGCGAGCTCTGAGAGAATGGCTGTGGAAGGTAAGGGCTGCGGTTCTCCTGCCTTTTCCTCCGGCAAAGCCAGAGGTGCCCCAGCCGCCCTCCCCCCCTTCCTCGTCCTTTGCCCTCACCTGAGAGGCAGCCGCAGCCGAGCCGGCTGGCTAGGAAGGGGAGAGCCTCCCGGGGAGCAGACCAAAGGCTTCGGCGCCCTTGCAGAATGAGGGGGGGCTGGCCCTAGACGGAGGCATGGAGGGGCGCGGAGAGGTGAGCTGGCGCGGACCTGCTAAGCCGGCGACAGCCGCCACGGCTTCTCTTTCCCGCCCCCACGACCCAGGTTCCTGCATAGCTCCACTGCAGCGCCCGCTCGCTCGCTCGCTCGCCCCCACCTCGCTCTAGGCTGCGGTCTCGTTCAGAGGAGACCCCTCCACGTCCACTTCCTTCCGTGGGCATTAGTGGGAACCCTCCGTGTCTTGATTTGCGCCCCCTTTTTTGGCAGCTGTTAGCCAGTGTTAGGTGTTGATCTCCTCCTGTCTGCAGGCACTTTCTGGCTTGTATGCTGGGCTAGGGAATCAGGTGAGCTCTGCAGGCAAATTCCTTTGGTAGGATGCTGTCCGGTGGAGACTATCCTTGAGGTTCACCTGAGGAGGCTTCAAAGGAGGCCTGAGCACCAGGATGTTGAGCAGCTCATGTGTGGTGGCCTGCTTCTTGCAGGCAGCGGCCGGGTCCACCTACTAATGCCAAGTCCTTAAGCCTGGCTTAGAAGCCCCAGGAGCTGGGTTCCCACCAAACCACACTGTTGCCCGTCAGCATGATTGGTGAACTCAGCCCTGGATTTACTCCCAGACTGTTCTAATCAGCTCTGGGTCATATACGGATGTCCCTGTTTATGAAATAGAACAAGGAAGTAGTTTTGGGTGCCAGCTGGGTGTTCTGCAAAGAGGGCTTGAAACTTGTGAAACAGAGTCAAGGACTTATTTTTGAAAAGAAAAATATGAAGGGAGGCCTTTCCTGTTGTTTCCAAATGTTCATGGGTTGGAAATTATTGTGCTAGTTCATGGGATGTGATACGAGTGGTCCAAATCCCACCATCGTTTGCAGCCCAGAGTATTCCACAAGAGATACATGAGGTTCCTCAGTAGATAGGAGGCCCTCAATGGAGAAAGACTGAACTAGAAAGGTGGAGAGTTACCACCCTGTTCCCACTGAGTTACAATATAAGAAAGCAAGCATAAAACTGATCTTTTAGTGCCATAGTTTTTAGACATTGGGGTCTTGGGGAGTGGGTTGCCTGATAACATTAGTGTAACTTAGGCCTCACCGCTAGTAGCATCTCTTCTGCAGGACAGCCTCAATTACATTCTTACCAATAGCTGAATGTGTTGCCTTGCTGAGCATGAGAATCTATAGATCTGAGGAAAGCGATAAATAATATTAGCATTACTGTTCCAACTTATAGTAGTGCTGTTCGTCCCCTCTGCATGATCTGCAGCAGAAATCCTTGTAATTCTCTTTCTAATAATTCTTGCCTCTTTCTCTCATTTCCTGATCTCTTCATTTCTGTACCATTAACATACTTTAAAAATTAAATTCCAGGTTTTCTGGTGGTGTGGGAATGATCTTCCCTTTTGATCACATGATTCTGGCAGAATCTAGTCCACAGCCCATAAGTCTTTTGCCAATCCTTTCTTGTTTTGCTATATCATTCCTGCTTAAACCAGCAACAAGCCATGGTGTGTAAGTTTTATTATGCTCCTCCCTTTTTTAGAGATTTGTTCATATGATCAGACCACCTTGATCAGCATATTTCCCAGTGAGATACCTGCATTTTAGAAGAAAAGGCAGGAAATGTATGCTATTGGCTTTTCTTCGTGCAATTAATAGTCTTGAAATATTCCTCCCCCATTCCACTGAAAGTAGTAACATCTCATTAACCACCATACCAGCAATGAGAATCAGAAAAGCATTTTCACTGTCCCAACATAGCATTTATTGACATAGCAAGGGTTGAGTTTGCTTAAGCATTCCCAGAAAGAAAGATGCGTTGATAGATGTGTTGATAGACAGACACTCTATTTGCAAAATAGAGTGTCTGTCTGTCTGTCTGTCTGTCTATCTATCATAAACATTTCAGTGTGGAAACACTATATCAAATCTTACCTTTTTTTAAAAAAATCACACTTTAAAATTGCTGTTGCCAAAGCAATATTTTAGGCTCATCCAAAGGAACCTTTCTTAAAATTTCTCCACTCAGTTTAGGGAATCATCGTTCATACCATCTTACAATCTGGTTTTGAAACTCCCCTCTGTTTGGAAAGCAGCTTACCATGTGGCAGTGGGGGCTGCTGCCTGAAAAATACAAGCCCCCAATGGCCTGGGACCCATATGTGCAGCGCGTTGGAGGCTAGCCTATGAAAACAAACAATGGGAAGATTAAACAGCCAGGACAGAAATATGATCAAAGCAGTGGCTTTCTGCAAAAGCCGGGGTAAAATCATAAATGTAAAAGCATCTGTGGGACTTTTTTCCCCCTTTATCAATGGTACTTGGAATAAGTTTTATATTTCCTCCACCTCTTCTTCAAAAGTGTTCTCAGCTTTGAGTTTGGAAGAAGAAAGAGAATGGGTTAGCACTGGGATAGATCCAAAGAAGAGTCACAAATGTGTGGGACAGAACCATATTTTATCAACCTATTTCTCTCTCCGAAGAGATCTGATGCTTATCTTTTCACAGTAGATGTTACTCTGGTAAAAATAGCAGTGTGCATGGATTTGTTCTGAATCGAAATGAAGACTGGATGCAATTTGATGTGCTGCTTGCCTGCAAATGACATCTCCCCCATTCATGTGTAAATCTGATGAATTTTGCTTCATGGGATTGTTTAGCTCCATTTGGCCTAAACTTACAAGGATGAAAGTGAGGTGGAGTTTCCATGCATACCTCCACCTGCCTGTGCTCTGAGATTTCATTTTTTTTTGTACATTCATCTGAATGTGCATAGAAGCTGCCTTATAATTAGGAACTGTGGGTATATGGAAGTTTTACCCATATTTACTCAGCCAAAATGCCCTAAAAACCTTTATAGACAGCCTGGAACAAAACAGGATGTTTTCTGTGTGTTCAGCCATGGGGAACAATAGGAACTCAAAACAATAGTCTTTCCCCTTGTTTTTTGTCCTAAGGAGCAGCCAGTTCAGGTGATAAATCTTCAGGTCTAAACCTGCTGCTATGATCAAGTTAGTAAACTTTTGACAGCTTTGGGAAAGTATTTGCCCTGTTTCCTCCTCCTGCGGCCAAAAAAATAAAAATAAAAAATGTCTTCCCCATTCTTTCTGCCTGAGAAGAAGGATTGGCCCAGAGATTTTCTTTGGTATATCCTGGTGGCTTGAATCAATCCAGTAATAACTTTCGGTATTGAAGAGCAACAGGAAATATTTCAGGTTGTATGAAAAAGAGAAAACAAAACACTTTTCTGGCATTCAGCTACACCTTCAGATGGGCACAGAGTGTTTACTGCAAAACTTGAAATGAATTGTAACATAGTACACTCGTTATTCTGTGTTGGCTGCATGTCTCTGGGGCTGAGGTTTCTATAGCCACCCTATTTCAATATAGTTCTTCAAGCACAGAAGCAGAATGTAGAGGCGAGGTCTCCCCTGTTGTGGGAAAGCTTGAATAAAGAAAGAACAATACATCTGGTTAATTTCCTAATCAAACTGTAAGTGGGAATCTATTGAAAACTGCCAGTTATAGCAGAGAACAAAGGGCACGTATCTCTGATGATTAGGGAAATGGAATTGTTGGGTATTAATTTCCCCTTTCATTATCAGAATACAAACAGTGATAATTATTCTGGATGAGGAAGGCAGGATGGAGCAGAAATTCTGGTTCTTGCCAATGCATAGGGTTGCCATACTTAGGTTGCAAAGCCGTGTCTGACCACTAGAGGGCAGCAGAGGGAATTTACTGTATTACTTGGCTACCAGCTGCCCTGCCTGGCTGTGGCAAGCCTACTCTGCTTGTGTACAGGTAGTTCTCGTTTAGCGACTGCCTTGTTTAGCAACCGCTTGCAGTTGCAGTGGTGATGAAATAGTAACCTTACGATCAATCCTTTGCAGGTCTGTAAAGCAAAGGAAAACTGAAGTAATATCATAAGCACAGTAGCAGTTTTACTTAGCAATCACTTCACCTAATGACTGAGTTGCCGGCCCCAATTGTGGTCACTAAATGAGGACTACCTATATACAATCCAATCAGATGCAGACCATCTTTAAATATAAGTCCATGGAGATGGCTGCGGGGGAAGGCCTATGTTTTGGTTTTAGAACCAGGTAACGTTGCTGGTTTCCTTCTAGTTAAAGTGAAAGAAATGGGTCAGAGCTGACAGTTTTGTAATCTTTGTTAAAATAAATGCCGTTGTTATTTTTCTCTTTGATACAGTAGAAGAATTCTGGGGTTAGATATACCTAGGAAGCGGGTTACTGTATTGCTGTAATGAAGATGGGAGAAGACCAGGGTTATCTATAGAGGAATAAAAAGAGTCCAGAGGGCAACTGCCAGCTAAACAAAGCCCCACCCTTTTTTATGTGTGATGCATACATGAAACATATAGAACAGGGATGGGCTTTGACTGCACAGGCACAATTGCCATCTAGACTTTTTTAACCACCCTTTTCCACAGATGTCCCTGTATAAGAGAGTTTTCTTTACCTGCATTTCTGCTGTGTTGGGAGTACACCTGCCTGATTTCTAGCCAATGTTGGCATGCTCCTTTGGGATTCTGGGAGTTGTAGTTCCCACTAACTGGAAGGCGTCCACCCTATGCTAACTCAGACATTCCATGAATTTTTTACTGCCTATCACTGGCAGCTTGCATAGGCAGGTTTTCAGGATGTTGGAGTACAAGGCCTGAAACTAAAAGGGACGCAGTGGCGCAGGGCTTAATGACGCTGGAGTTTGCCGGTCAGAAATGGTCGGCACTCCAGTGGTTCGGGCCCGGCTCTGCGGGATGGGGTGAGCTCCTGTCCCTTGTCCTAGCTCCTGCC